CAAGGGGGCACAATTAGGGGAGAAAGTAGCAAGTCAGATGCTGAAAGAAAAATCACAGACAAAGGGGTCCGTTAGAGAATGGTGCAGCCTGACACAGAATGAAGCTTCATACAGTTCCCTCTTACGTAACTTTTTAGGAAAAAAATTTAGGGTACTCCAGACAGCTGAGAGATTGAATTTAAGACGAAGAACAATGTGACCCTGAGCAAGCAATAGGAAGCTGTGGGATTGAACTGTTCTGTTTGGCCATTTTGTCATTTTACAAGTTACAGTTTAACCTGTAGGATAAATGCGTACTCTAGAAAGGGCAAAATTCCAGTGTGCAGGGGACAGGTGGAGACGAAGTTCCACACCTGGATGAGGAGTTATTACCAATTATAGACTCGAAGAGAGGGAGAGTCAGATTTCTTTGAGGGTGTGGCCCAGAGTAGGTCAAGTACGCTGCAGCGGGTGGCCCCACACCCAGGAGTGCATGGATGGCACAAATAGGACTTGATGCTTTGAGAAAAAAAAAAAAAAGAGGCCATGAAGTGGGATGGGTAGGGTAGGGAAGGGAGAGTGGATCTGGGAGGAGTGGGTGGGAATGAAGATAATCCAAATCATATAAAGTCCTCAAAGACCTAATAAAAATGTTACTTGGCAACATTCTTTGATTTGCAAGCCATATAAAGGACACCTTGGGCTGCGTGAATGAGCTAAGCATGTAGGTTGCAGAACAAAATTGGACTCCAGCTCTTTTCACCATCTTGACTACAAACGGCTCCATGTTAAGGCACGTGGAGAGAATGTATGACAAATAAGGAACACAGGACAGTCATATCAAAGTGAAAGGTATAGATTATATACTGTGTGTGTGCGTGTGTGCTTCTGATTCTTACAAGCTCTTTGAAGAGCAGTGATATTGAGGGAACAGCTCGTAGTGGAGTTCTGAGGCGTTTATTTTGTACCCACTACAACTTAGTTTATAGTTACCATAACAAGAAACACTTACATACTGCAATTTTATTACAGTGGCACTAGTGGAACTAGACTGTAGGATAACTTTATTGCTATAATATTTTCATTAGTTCATTGGTGATGTCATACATACACAGAGTGGATTTTGGTCATGTATGAAATGTAAATAAAACAGTTATGGTTAAAAACAGCAGAGAATTGAAAAGTCTAAAAAAGGAAAACACCCGAAGATTGAGAGGTCACATCTGGGACCCATTCATCTCAGGTTTTGATTAACACTTTATGCTTGTAAAGTTTCTTCCTTCCTTCCTTCCTTCCTTCCTTCCTTCCTTCCTTCCTTCCTTCCTTCCTTCCTTCCTTTCTTTCTTTCTTTCTTTCTTTCTTTCTTTCTTTCTGTTCATTCTCTCTCTCTCCTCCTTCCTTTCTTCCTTTCTCCTTTCTTAAGATCACACTGGCTAGCCTGTAACTTGCCTTCTGAGTGCTAGGATTATAGCTGTGGACCACCACACCTAGCTATGGTTTTTCATGATAAGTTTCACATTTAAGTGCTGTATAGAATTTACTCAACTCTTGCCTGATGAAACTCTAGCACTCAGTGCTTGTTCCCAGTTGATGGGTGCCTACGTCACTAGTGACAGAAGGGTCGCAAAGGGTATCACCAGACCTCAGTATCTCCTGGTCCACTGCTGAGGTCCTGATTCCACATGGTCTGTTGGTCATCAATCATGATGAGTCAGGCATGCTCAGCACCGACAACAAAGATTCCACTATTTACAGGAACTAAGTTATGGAAACAATCTAGGTGTCCAACAGCAGAGGAGTTGGCAAGGAAGATGTAGTGTATACAAACAATGGGAGCTTTTTCAGCCTCAAAGAACAATGACATTTCATTAGCTGGACAATGGATCCGACTAGAGATGCTCGTATGGATCAAATTAAGTCAGACTCAGAAAGACAAATTTTGGGACTGTAGTGGTGACCGAGTCAGTAAAGTGCTTATTGCACAAGTGTGAGGACCCAAGTTCGATCCCCGGCACTCACATACAGAAGCTGGATATCGCTCTCAGCACTGGGGAGACAAAGACAGGAGGATCCTGGGACTTGCTGGCCAGCTGGTCTGTTCAACTTGGGGAGCTCTGGGTTCAGTGAGAGACTGTCTCAGAAGATGAACAAGGAGGAGAGTGATTGAGAAAAACACCAGAAACACCAGACATTGAACTCAGACCTCTGTGCATACATGCACACACATGCACGTCAGTGCGTGCGCGTGCACACACACACAGAGATCACATGCTTTCTCTCATTTGTGCATCCTAGGTTTTGAAAGATAATGTACAGATGACCTGAAAGTGGAATTACCCAGGGAACCAAGGGGGCCAATAAGACTCTAGAGGGGCAAGCGGAGAGCAGGGAACGGAGAATCGGAGGGTTCCGCTCAAAGGCCCTCATATACTTACATGAAAATGGCCCAATGTAATTCAGTGTAACAAACAAAAAATTAAAATAAAAAATCCCATGTTTTACTCTTCAGGCACCTGTATTCCAAAGCCTCCTAAATGCCCATGCAGTGCTCAATACTGTGCTCAGGTCTCCGCAGTGAAGAGTACGAGAATGTCATTCTGCAGGGCTTATGCCCAAAGCCCTGTTTGCATCTCGACTGTCTCTGCCAGCCCTAGCTGACAGAGTGAACCTGTCATTCCTGTTCCTTCCTCTGTCACCTGGTAATAATAAGGTTGCCTGCGCTCCGTGTCCAGCGTGGTTGTCAGTGATGCCCACTGGCGCCGGGTCATCTTGCTGTAGTCTAGCTTAGGGAAGAGTGTTCTGAGCAGCTGCCTCACGGAAGAACTCTGAGGAAACCTTTACTCATCCTGGCCTGGCTTGACTCTGGGCTCCAGGCTTCAGGAGCACTCAGAGGTTATCTTATCTCAGCTCCCTGGCCTCTGGTTCTCCTAAGGTCCACTGACCTTGGCATGGCCTCTGGACCATCACACGAATGGCAAGCAACACTCCTCCACTGTGAGGGCCAGCATAAACAATCAGGTCTCCATCCTTGTGAGGGGCAGCACAGTCATGTTTCCACCCCTGTGAGGGCCAGCAATAGCCAGCCTGATCTCCATCATGAGGGCCAGAACCTGCTGACTGCAGTCACATATGACATGTTAGGTTTTCTGAGCAGCCCTCGGTTTTGACTGATGAGGTCAGCCTAGGAGATGGACTGACTAGAACCTTACTTTACCCACGAGGAGATGGAGGCTCCAAATGGTTCAGAGCGCTTTCCCTGGGGGGCATTGTGGAGGACAGAGTCAGGCAGTGATTCTTACCCGCGATGCTCAGTGGCCTGGCACTAGTGCTGACGTTTCCACTGGCTGACACTCCCTGCAAAGACTTGAAAATTCAAAAGAGAGCATGGTGTCACTTTTATTTCACTTTTGGATTAAAAATGCCTTTTGCATATTTTTCTGTTCTTCAGCTGATTCATAACATTTGTGTTTTAAAATATTTTCCTACTTTTCAGAGATTTTAATATAATTACAACATTTTCCCCCTTCCTTTGCCTCCCTCCAACCCCTTTCACATCCCCCTTTGTTCTCTTTCAAGTTTATGGTCTATTTTGCTTTTTTTTTGCCATTAAACATATGTATGTATATTCTTAAATACATACATGCAACCTTCTCAGTCTGTGAATGTCATGTGTGTGTATCTGTTCTCAGGGCTAAGCTTTGGTACTAGATCACCACTACCTATGCTCTTCTCCAGGAAAGGATATTTCTCCTGCTCTGAGCATCCCTTAGCTGTCTATAGTTCTTCGTAATAGTTGGATTTTGTTTTTGAAGCAGTGTCTTTCTTTGAAGCTCAAGCCAGTCTGGGACTCATTATGTGGCTTGGAACTCATAGCAATCCTCCTGCCTCAGCTCATGTCATAGCTTATGCCACCATGTCCAACTGTTTTTTAAAACAGACTTCCAGAGCTATTGCCTAGACTCAGCACTGTGTAAACACTTGATAGACATTAGCCTATTCAACCCCTTTCTTAAGCCCATTCTGTGGATCTGGAAGTTTCCACGGAGAAGCTACCCCCACCCCATACACACACAAATGCACACAGGCAGGAGGGAAGGGCAGGTTAGTACCTGCTCTCAATGTTATACTCTGTCACAATTGCACATAGTGGATGGTCTCTCTTACATACTGTGGCTTGATAATTTCCTGGTCAATTGGGCCAGCAGGATGGCTTGCCCTGCAAGCCTGGTAACCTGAGTTTAATCCCAACAACCCATGTAAAGGGAGAAGGGAGAACTGACTCTATAAAGTGTTCCCATGACCTTCACATGCCTGCCATGGCACACGTGACCACACACATATGCAAACACATGTACACGGAAATAATAAAACAACAAAAAATCAGTCAATAACCAATCCAAAGGAACCTTTTTAACTGGGGGAGACCGTTCTGCAGGATCATTGCAGGGATTCCCAGATTAGTCCGGGGCAACAGGAGAAGGGACTATGCTCTGTTCTAATGGCCTGTGTGTGTCTCAAGGATGGGCCATGAGGATTCTGCTACTCTAGGGGGAAACCAAGAAGGCCAGAAAAACCTGGGTATTTGGGTGTGGTAAGACCAGGAACATCTGGATCAGGCTGATGGGACCCCAGAGGTCATCCCAGCCTGAGAAGGGGCTGTGAAGAAGAGGTGTCCTAGTGGCACAGAAAGAGGGTGTACCAGGACCCAGGGAAAGGGCAGAACCTTTACCAAAATTGGGTACATTTTTACCACAGTGTATCGGTGGTACAAGCAGGTCGGCTAATCAATCCTGGAGCAGAAAAAGGGATCTGGACATTCTGGTCTGACTTTATCCTAGTCCAGCAAAGGAAGTATTTATGAGTCTCCTTTGATTCCGATGAGGAAGGGGGTTTTTTATGTTGGGAGAGGGCTACTGGGGTGTCATTGCTTGCTTTTTGTCGCCTTGATGAAACACTGACAAAAGCAACATGGAGAGGAAAGGGTTTAATTGGCATATCCTTCCAGGTCACAGCCACCACGAAGGGAAGTCAGGGCAAGAACCCAAGGCACAAGCCTGGAGGCGGGAGCTGATGCAGGGGCCATGGAGGGTGCTGATTGTTGACTCACTCCCCCCACTTGCCTGCAGCCAGCTTTCCTATCCAACCCAGAATCAGCGGCACAAGAGTGACACTCCCTATGTGGTGGTTTGGACCCTTCCACAGATACGCCCATGGGCCAGTCTGATGGAGGCCATTTCCGAGTTGAGATTCATTCTTCCTAGCCTCCACTTTCTAGACAGGCACGCTTCAGTAAGCCGTCTCCCCAGCCTGCTTTTCAATATTTTATTTTGAGGTAGGGTCTCACTGAGTTACCCAGGCAGGCCCTGAATTTGCAATCCTTCTGTCTCAGCCTTCCAAGGAACAAGAATAACAGGTCCGTGCCACTATGCTGGCTAGAAGGGGGGATCACCTTAGCGAGCCGATTCCCAGAACAGAATGGGGCAGGGGGATTTCTTCACCCTGGCTAGTTTCCAGAGTCACAGCCCTCAAGCAGAGTTCATCGTGGCCTCTTCTCATTTTGTAACTCACTCCTACTCAGTGCCAGGCTCTCCCTGGGACCTTTTCTGGATTAGGTAGATCCTAAGTCTATGTTCCAAAGTCCTGCCTATGAAGATGGCTTCAAGAACATTCTCTACCCTGAGAAAGTGTGGTCAAAGCCAGCACCTCACACTCTTGTTCACATGCCTTTACCTGGCTCCTGTCACCCAGCAACTGTGGTCAAGGTTCAGCCATGTTGTGAGTTTGTATCATTACTACATTCCATTTTTTACCGATCAACAATATTCCTTTGTATGTATAGGTTACCTCTGTTTACCCATTCCTTGGGTGGTGGGCATTTGTTCCATTTCCTTTCCTTGGCTACTGTGAACAATGCAGCCATGGACGTCCATGTGTACTCTATGCATTCATTTTTCTTGGGTCTATATCTGGGAGTGAAACTGTCCATTATACCTGTGATCTCAGCACTTAGGGGGCTGAGGCAGGATTGCCATGAGCTCAAGGCCAGTCTGGACTCCAGAAGGAATTTAAGGCTAGCTTGGGCTACATGTTGAGACTTTGTATGAAACAACGAGAGAGAGACAGAGACAGAGAGAGGGAGACAGACAGAGAGAAGACAAATACAGAGACAGACAGACAGACAGACAGACAGACACACACACAGACTTATCACATGCTGGTATTGTTTGTCCTGTGTTACATTCTTTTTTTTGTCAGTAATCCCTGAACTCCAACCTTCCCTTGCCACGCATGCTCACTGAAAGCTTACCTGCATCCCTTTCTTTACATAGAGTAAGTTGTCTGTCTTGACTTCCCCAGCTGTTTTTTAACCTAGCCACCAAAGAAATTTCCCCAGCTCTCTCTCTCCAGGGAGCAGAGACCATCACAAACATCATGGGATGTGATGTTCAATTCGTGAATAAACTCCAATTCGTGATGTTCTCATATTGCGTTGCTTTGTGCTCAGCTTGTGTTGTCTTGACTCTTGCAGGTGCTGATTCTGGTTTTGGACATGCCTTGGCCAAGCACCTGGACAAGCTGGGCTTCAGAGTGTTTGCCGGAGTGCTGGACGCGAAAGGCTCAGGAGCAGAGGAACTGAGGAAAACCTGCTCTGAGCGCCTCTTGGTGCTCCAGATGGATGTCACCAAGCTCGAGGAGATAAAAGATGCTCACAGCAAAGTCACAGAGGAGACCAAAGACAAAGGTACTGACTTCCTCGATTCTTCCTCACCCCACTCACCAATGCCCATCTCTTGTCACTGCCCCTGATGACCGTGGCTGCTGATTGCACCAGGACCTGTATACTGGACCCGTGCCATGTCCCAGAGCCTGTTAGACACAAAGATGTCAGGAGTGACTCTGATACAGATTCTCTCTTCATAGAATGTGCAGAATTCATGTGTGGGAGTGTGTACGCGTGCATGTGCATGCATGCATGCGTGTGTGCATGGCAAGACAACCTTGGCTATTGTTTCGGATGTACCACCCATCTTGTCTTTTGAGACAGAGTTTCTCAGTAGTCTGGAGCTTATCAGTTAGGCAAAGTTGGCTGGCTCACCGGTGGACCCGAATGATCTACGTGTCTCTGCCTCCCCACTGCTGGGATTACAAGTGTCTGTCACTGTGACAGGTTCTTTTAAGATGTGAATTTTGGGGCATTGAACTTCTGCCCTCTTTGCTTGCTAAGAAAGCACTTTACCAACTGAGCTATGCCCCACTCCCTCCTTCAGCGTACAGTATCATCTCCCTCCCGTGTCTTCTTGGTCCTTCTGGTTACTCTCCTACCCCCGGCTCTTTGCCTTCTTCCAGCAAAATCAGCGTGCATTGGTCTTCCCCAGCTTGACAAACAGCCGCAGGACCATGTGCCTCCTGGAGGCTCTGCCTTTTCTCTCTTTCATTTGTGGCCAAGTCTCCGTTTGGTTTCATGGCTTCATGCCTGGTCACATGAGTGGTAGTTCTCACTACACCTCCTTACCTGCTCTGGCCAGAGCTACCACTGTCTTCTTGAAGACCAAAGACCTTATCTTCTTTGTACTGTTCTAAGAGGACATTCTCCGCTCAGATCTGGGTTTCCCAGCCTTCCCTTTGCTCTCCTGTTATTTGCTGGTTGTGTTCTCTGTTTTCTGGATATATCTTTTCCTCCATCCCTCTATTAAATATGAATCTTCCTATTTTGACCCACCTGTGGCTTTCCACTCCCCACTCCTGGGTTCAACCGCTCCATTCTTATGCCCAGGGCTCTCTGTCCTCTGTATATTGGAGGAGGGCTAAAAAATACCCATGTTTGTCCCCAGAGTGGGGTACATACTCTGTGGAACCCAGTGTGAGGTGAACGTGAGAGCCCCCTCACTGATGAACTGATTCAGAAATATAAGATGGTGGCGTCGGGGGATTAAATGTATTTGAGTCCCTTCTGAACTCCCAGTCCCATGGCTCGGGGGTGTCTGAGTACCTCCAACCCAAAGTTCAATTGCTGCAGCTTGCTCAAGGAGAGACTCAGACGCTAACAATGACAGGGGGGAGGGGGAGGGAGGGAGGAAGAAAGGGAGGGAGAGAGAATTTGTGCATGTTTGTGTGAGATGCACACGCTAGAGGTCCATGTCAGGTGTTTTCTCTCCATCTTGTGTTTTTGACACAGAGTTTGCTATTTTGGTAAGTCCCTGGGATCCACCTGTCTCCCCACCCCACTCCCTGGTGCTGGTGTTACACACAGCTTTGTGTGGGGGCTGGAGGTCTGCTTGCTTCTGCGCTGTACATCTTACCCAACACGCCATCTCCCAGCCCCCTCAGCAGTTTGTACTTTTGAAAGCTCCCTAGGTGAGGTTCATGTTTGGTCAGGGTTGGAAAACTAATTTACACTAATGCCTTCCAAAGCCACGCAGCCCACCTGGCTGGGCCTCCTCACATCTAGCCCCAAGCACACAGAATGATCTCCCTAGCATTTCCACAACCTCACTGTCTTCAGAGTTGACCTTGTTATCTTTTCCCTAATGCCAGCTTGAAAATCGACTTGCTTGCCTGCACACCCAATCAATCATTGGACTCAGTGGCCTGGTGGGCAGTCACTGACGCCTCTAACTCTGACACCACTGATCTCTCTGCCCTATTGACCCAGAGTTCTGCCAGTTCTGCCCCCTAGATATTTGTCACCCAGCCTCTTCTCAACACCTCCAAAAAGTAGTGGTTCATTGTAGGCCTTCACCAGGTCCTGTGTGGGTACCCCCCAAGGGTTTTGCTGTTTCCTGTGTGGGTACCCCAATGGCCTCCCTACTTCCTATGTAGGTACCCCAATGGCCTCCCTACTTCCTGTATAGGTACCCCAATGGTTCTGAGTTCAATTCCCAGCAACCACATGGTGGCTCACAGCCATCTATAATGAGACCTGGCGCCCCCTTCTGGCATGTCAGCACACATGGAAGGAATGCTGTACACATAATAAATAAATAAGTCAAAAAAGACTATGTGTATTAGAGAGAGAGAAAGAGAGAGAGAAGGAAACAGAGAGAGAAACAGAGAGACAGAGAGAGAAACAGAGAGACAGAGAGAGTAACCATGAAACCTGATCTGGGTTCTTAGAACCCAATTCTAGTCCTCTGCAAGAGTAAGCTCTCTTAACCCCTGTGTCATCCCTCCAGCCCCCAAGTTAGCCTTTTCTAGAGTTTTCCTAGCCTTACCTTTTTTTTTTTCCCGAGACAAGGTTTCTCTGTAGCTTTGGAGCCTGTCCCGGAACTAGCTCTTGTAGATCAGGCTGTCTTCGAACTCCCAGAGATCCGCCTGCCTCTGCCTCCCGAGTGGTGGGATTAAAGGCGTGCGCCACCACCGCCCGGCTCCTAGCCTTATCTTTGACCATCCAATAGGACTGTACTCATCACTCAGGAGTTTGACTTAATAATGTCTCATGACACTGGATGCAGAATCCTTTCGCGAGGTTCAGCAGGGCAGCACTGACTGTCTGTAGTGAAGGAGTGATGGGTTCTAGACACAGAAATGCCATGGCGGTACCCAGGCATGAAGGGATGTGGGAACTTGATTTTTATGTCATGAACTCCTGCCATTCTGCAGTTAGCATTGAGAAAGGCAGCTCTCCCCTGGGCCAGAATGGGTGGCCCACCAGCCTGCTCACTCCAGGTCTCTCTAACTTCAGTCTTCTTAAAGAGAAACTGGAGCCACAGGATCACCAAGCAGGAACCATTTAGAATCTGAGGCTAAAGCAGCAGGTCTCCCAGAGGACTCGTGATTACGTCGTACTCCTGCAAAGCAGATTGTTCATTTAGTGGTAGCATATCGATTATTGCTAGCTGGTGTTAATCATCACCAATCGGTTACTGGGTCTCACAAGCTTGATGGGTTTATTGGCCAGTTTAGAATTCTATGGTAGTTAACCAGTACCAGAATATGGTTAGGTGTTAGCAGTAAGTTCTGTTGATGGCACAATAGTCCACATCGTCCACAGTCATTTAGTACACATTTTATGAAGACCTAGCAGACAGATCCTCCAGATACGAAGAGGTTACATCATCCTCTGCCACGTGCTCTGGTTGGCCCATTGGCCCACGAACTGAGAATGGTCTTTATACTTTGAAGTGCTTAAATCGGAACAACTTTTTTACGTGAAACTTACATGTCATTCAGATGTCAAGGTTCATAAATAGGAGTTTACATGAGCACAGCCTCCCCCATTTGCATGCACCTTTGTGTTCCTTTGTGCCCCAGTGGAAGTGGTGAAATTAGCAGGCCTGCAGGAGTAAGTATTTGGCCTTTGTACTCTGCATGTTGTCATTGCGGCAAACCCCGGGGAGGATCAGTTTAAAGGAAGAAAGATTTCTAGGGTTTATGGTTTCATTGCTTCTGGGCCATGGTGAGGCTGGGCATCCCTGTGGGGAGCCTGAAGTGGGCCAAAGTTGCTCACATTATGGTGGATAGGCGGGGAGAGAGAGAGAGAGAGAGAGAGAGAGAGAGAGAGAGAGAGAGAGAGAGAGAGAGACTGACTGACTCCACTTCTTCCAACAAGGCCCTACCTTCCACACTTCCACAGTTTCTACTGTGTCCATACAGCTATGAACCCATTGGTTGGTTGATTTTAGTTGGTTAAGCCAAACCCTTCTCATGATGCAGACACTGTACCAGGGAACCACGAATCCATTGGGGGTGGAGGACCATCCATATCTAAACAGTAGGGCTTTTTACAGAGGAAGGTGGATGATGCCTGTTCTAGAACATGTTCCAGCTCTATGTTGACTAGTCCAAGGGGGCACATCAGGCAGAGTGGTTATGAAAGAGACCTCCTCTGCACTCATCCCCCACTTAGCAGCTGCTGCCCTCTCTGTGTGGTAAGCCTCTTCCCAGTTCAATGCTTACCCAGTGCCTGTGAATTTAGATCACAAACTGGCTCACAAGAAATGTAGTTAGTTTGGGCTTAGAACCATCTTTCAGCGATGAGGTAAAGAGATGCCAGGATTTTGAGCCTGTTCTCCTTTCTCTCGGGGCAGTATCGAAATTGCTGGGGACGGAGCATCTGATGGTCTTGGTGGTCAGTGTTTCATGTCGATCCTGTGATCCTGATGCTCCTCAAGGAGACACAGGAAGTAGGGCACATGATGTTAGGGACATCGCAGTCACCCCTACTGTTGGTACTTTCCTTCTTGTTCCTAGGTTTTTAGTTTAGAGTGGGGGAGGACTGCCCAGCGCCTCATTCTGCAGTGTGGTAACTGAGTCTTTCCATACTCCTGGGAGGAGGAAGCAGACTTTGAAACTTTAGGCAGGGGTTTTTAAGGTTTCTGATACTGTGACTCTTTGATACAGTTCCTCATGCTGTGGCAACCCCAGCCATAAAAGTATTTTGTTGCTACTTTATAACTGTAACTTTGCTACTGTTACGACTCTGTTACAAATCCTGTTATGAATAATGTAAATAGTATGCAGGGTATCTAAGAGAAAATGCCCATGGGGGGGGGCGCGACCCACAGGTTGAGAATCATTGCTTTAAGACCAGGCATACTTCAATACTGGGAATTCACCTCTTGTTATGCCAGTTGTTTCCTTAAATGATGAATATCCAACTTCCTGGATGTAGGAAAGGGCTACCAGGCAAAAGAGGAACAGGGCTGGCAGGACATCCTGGTGAGTAAAGGTGCCTGCAGCCCAGCCTAAAGATCTGAGTTCAGTCCTTATGATCCACGTGGTGATGGGTGAGAACCAATCACCCTACAAGTTGTCTTCTGACCTCTACATCCGCATCCTGGCAAGCTAAGAGGAGAGGATCTCCAAAAGCATTGTTTCATAGTATACACATTTCCCCCCTCACAGTGCCCCATCATGGGGAGGTTTGGGAATATGGGAAGAGACCAAGGTTAGGAAGTGTGTCATCTGACTGGAGCCTCCATTTCAAAGGGGTTTGGTGGCTCCGGAACTTGTTGTGTGGAACTCCCCACGTGCTCCAGCCTCTCCTGTCCTCACAGCTGTTTGCTTTTGTTCCCAGGGCTGTGGGCTGTGGTCAACAACGCTGGGATCTTCCAGTATCCAATAGACGCGGAGATCATCCCCATGGCCCAGTACAGAAAATGCATGGCCGTGAACTTCTTTGGAGCCGTGGAGGTCACCAAGGTGTTCCTGCCTCTCCTCAGGAGATCCAAGGGGAGGCTGGTGAACATGTGCAGCATGGGAGGTGAGTCAGCCTGGTGGCATGTGGTCACGTGGTGCCTGTCACCCGATGTGGAGCTTTTCACTCTTTGTAAGCTACACAAGAGAGCCAGGGCTCACAAAAGCCGGCTGGGTCACAATGAGTCAGTCTGTGTCTTCACGGTTGACCTTTCTATTCCTTTCAAATTCTCTCATGCGAAAGCACTTTTTGACTTTCTGCTAATTACCGTGTTCATTGCTGGGGATTTGAAGACTCGTAGGTGTCTTCATACTGTGACCGCTGACACGTAAGCATTGCGGGACAGCACAGCTCATGGGGTCCAGGTGACTCTGCTGCCTCCGGAAGCCTGTCTTCGGCCTTCTCTGAACACAGCTCACTGCTATTTCCTGTAAGCTGACAAACTGAGGAGCTCCGCTTTGTGTGCACCTGGGGCGCCCTGGGTCCATCCCCTGGGGTTGGCTGTGATGCTGTCCTCACCTTTGTGGGTTGGGTGCAGGGTGTGTCAACAACCTCGTGGTCTCCTATTCCCTCAACAATGGCCTCTGTGTGGGTTACCACTCCTCGCCTTCTCCCATAGACATTTGCACACAGGAGTTCCCCAGGCCTTCCTCAGCTATGGGAGTCTTTCTCAGGTTTCTGCAAAAAATAAGGTGGAGAGAAACTGAGGGAGACCCCCCCAGTGTTGACCTCTGGCTTCTACATGTACACACACACATACTTGTGTGTAGTGTGGCCGTATTTCCACTCATGTGTTTAATTACCACATAATACTACATACACAACATACACACACACACACACACAGAGAGAGAGAGAGAGAGAGAGAGAGAGAGAGAGAGAGAGAGAGACAGAACAATTAGGTTTACACAAGAAACAGAGAAGCTAAAGAACCTATGGAAGGTATAAAGGGACAACCCACGGGGCTAGGGAGATGGTTCAGTGGTTAGAGCACTTTCTGCTCTTGTACAAGACCAGACTTTGTTTTCCAGATCCCACATAGTGAGTCACAGCCCTCTGTGACTCCAGCTCCAGGGGATCTGACACCCTCTTCCTACCTTTGCAGGCTTCTGTGTACATAGGGTGCAGAGAAATTCGCCCAGGCACAAACACAAGGGCAAATAAATAAAAGATATATAAAAAGGTAACTCATAATCTACACACACACAGGAGCCACCATTTAGTGTGGTCAATTTCTTGACGATGCAGCTCTAGGCAAAACTGAGACAAAAGTGGCTTTGGAAGGTGTCATTGCTACTGGCTTCTTGCCTAGAAGCAGGTAGAAACAGGAAACTAGTTAGTAGTATCTGCTCTGGACAGGAATCCTGGCTATCTGGACCTATCAGACTGGAGTCTGAAATCTCTACAAGCCAGGAAGAGTTGAGCTGGAATGGAAAAGTCTTCTCAAATCGTTTGTGGCTGCAGTTCTAATAACCCCAGCGACACCAGAGCTGCTGCGGGGGAGCGGCTGGTCTGGCGAACAGACATTGAGGTAATTTGTTACAGCAGCAACAGGAAGCTAATACGCCTGGTTTGACGTAGATAGCAGATCAAATGCCTCTAGGCCTGTCATAGTTTTTATTACAAGAAAGGAACTTCTACATTTCCTACCAAAATGCTGGGCCAACTTCCCTCTCCAGTACTCAATACAGGTTGCTAGTCAAAGCTCCCTGTTCCTCAAGCTGTCTGAGCAGGTGTCATGGATGGCATCTTCTGTTTTACCTCTCAGCTAGATAGCTAACAAGACCCTCTTTCTGCAGTAACAAATGTGGGTTTTGCAGTCTTGATTTAGCCCTCTCTTTGTGGGGAAATCTTTATTACCTGTGATTTATATTAATGCCCTGCCAATACCAAATATTTTCCATTCCTCTACATCTGAAGTTCAGTCCTCCCACTTTTATGTAACCTGGGTATGCATGAAAATATCAGTTTATTCTTTAAACCCTATTGAATCTCCTCATTTTTATTTTAAATTACATTATTTTGTGTGTGTGTGTGGTCTGTGTGTAGAACATGCGTAATGGTAAACTTTCAGTCAAAGGACAACTTTGGAAGTCAATTCTATCCTTCTACCATGTGGGTCCCAGGGACTGAACTAAGGTCCTCAGGCTTGGGGGCAAGTGATGTGATCTCCCCAACCCCACTACCCAGTCTTTTCCCATTGCTGAATGAACGACTAGCTCTTTAATCACCCCACAAAGTCTAAGTCAACTCCTGAAAACATGTTTTACTGAAATCTTAGTGGGAAGATGGAGGTGAGGGTAACCCTCATACAAACGCCCCTTAATGCAAATCCCCTTCCAATACCCCACTATTTACCAAGCATCCTCAGTTGCTGCCCCTTCATCTTTGGTCCACTTCCTTCTGTCTTCTCTGCCTTCCCAGTTGTGACTCTTCCCTTCTCTGCTTCCTCTACTCTCCCGTCCAGCACGTTCCTTTCACATCCTCTGATTTTTAGCTGTTCAGTGATCTGAGAACCTTGGTAGGGTCTGCCTTTCTCGAGTCACGAGTAAGCAGAGGCGGAAGAGGGAGAACTAACGGTACATATTATCGGCGGTATTGATTTCCTGTCTGGAGCTCTTACAGATGGAAGAAGCAGTCAGCTTCTCTAACTTCCCGTCTTTCCTTTCTTCACTCACCCTCCTCTTCATCATTTCCTTCTCTAACTCCTCCCTCTCCATGGGTGCCCCCTTTTGCCCTAGGACCTTGATCCATGGATGGCTCTCTAGCAAATCATCAATCATTTCCTCTCCGTCAAAAGCTGGAAGTTAGAAAGTTGGGGGGGGGGGGTACACTCTACTTCTTAGTTGAGTGACACTCCTGGAATCCCCGAAGCCAGGCCTAATTTTCTCCCTATAGAATAAAGGGAGTGGGAGGACCGAGCACATACCCATTCTGGGAAGGCTTCCCTGCAGTAGCATAGCGCAAGTTTAGCGCTCCAACTCCAATCCCAGCAAGGCAGTTGGACAAATATTTAACCAAGTATTTAAAGAGTTGGGAAAGAGTGATCTAAAAGCTGTTCCTGGACAGTTTCCTTCTTAAGAAATCAAAGTAAATATTTGTATGCGTCCTCACCGTGTCCCTGAGTGAGAACAGCTGGAAGCATGCTCTTCTCGAACGTGACTGGGCCCGCAAGGGTTTCGAGTCAGGCAGAATCTGAATCTTGATCTTCTGTTATCAGCTGGTGACATGGGGCAGGACACTCATTTGTCTGCCTCTGGTGTCAGCTGTCACACGGAGATGATGAAGAACCTGGACAGTCTCAGGGATGTTAGGACGTGTGGGCAAGTTATTCTCTACCTCTGACTCCTTGACGTTTGGAGCAGGAGGCTGTCCTGTAGATTGCGGAGAGACTGGAAACACTCACGTCCTTGACTCCCTAAAAGGTAGCAGCACCGCCTCCTCTTGGTGACAAATCAAAGCCTCAGGTTCTGCTGCTTGTCCATGTTGTGGCCACTTGACTCAGGGGAAAAACTGCTTTTCTTCGTATTGTCTTCTTTCTGTGGGGTGGGGAGGATTTGTGTCCTGCATTTCTTCTGAGCCAGGAACTGGCAAGGCCTCTTGGTTGAAACATCACCCAAAGCAAGCACAGCAGTATGTGTGAATGCAGACCCTTTCCCTTCAGAACGAAGACAAATGTGCTCTGTAGGAGAAAATTAGACCGGGCTTTGGGGATCCCAGGGGTGTCACTCAACTAAGAAGTAGAGTATAAGGCTACAGAATCATACACCTTAAAATAACCACTCTAGTCAATTTTGTGTGATGCAATGTTAGTTTATGTTTTATTTTGCCCCAATAACAGATTTTGGGGGGGGGGTCTCACTCTCCTGTTTCTGACTTACTAATTCTAGAGCAGGAGCTGAGAATTTGCAGCTCTGAGTGTTCCCGATGCTGCTTCTCACTGCTACTCATTCTTTTCGGAACAAGGTCCCGGGTCTTGATTTTGGTGGTGTACCTAGAGGCTTGTCACAGTCCCAGAGACCTCCAAATGACAAGGAGACCATCAAATGCTGTCTGAAGTTTTTGTGAGCTTCCTCGGAGGAATGAGCAAGCCTGTCTCTCCTGAGGTCATGGATGGGGTTTGGAGTTCAGCTTGAGAAAGCAGGCCAGAGGAGAGGACCTTGTTATCAGCGTCAGCTTCAGTCTGTCTCGGAAGCATCAGAAGCTGGGGGAGAGGTCTTGTGGTGTCCTCCTGAAACTAGGTCTGGATAACCCTGGCTAGGAGAGGTACCAGCTTTTGTGACCTTGGAACCTTTCCCTTGGAGCCTCTGGGCAAGAAAGGCTGCTGTATTCTGCCCCCTGCTGTCTTGCCAGGGAATTTATTTGAAAAGTTTCATTTCTTCAATTCCCACATAATCACACCTTAGCTTCAAGCCATAAAAAGAGGGCTCCTAGGTCTGGGGAGATGGCTCAGTAGTAAAAAGCTCCTTTTGCTCATGCAGAGGACCCAAGTTAGGTTCCCAGTACCCACATCAGGCAGCCCACAACCGCCTGTAACCCCAGCGACAGTGATCCTCTGGCCTCCATGGCGTACCTACTCATGTATGTGAACATGCTTGCACACAGACTCACATACGTAATTAAAAATAGTAAAAAGAAATCTTTGAGAAGCAGTTTCTTTATATAGGGATTGATGGCGGCGGTGTGTCCGAGGCTTTATGTGTTCTCAAAGGACACCAGAACTGACCAGTAGGACCTCAGGTCACATTACCGACTTACCCAGGATAGCAGGCAAGAGAAGCTTCCAGGTGATGGAGGTTGGCCAGCCAGGAGGATGTTAGCAGATAGAAGCTACAATATGCAGTCTGGAATGAATACTTCCTGTGTTCAAACCCTAGCTCTACTTAAGACTGAAAACCAAAAAGCCAGTCCCAAGCAATGTGCCTTAGTCATTACTTATAATCCACAATGCCTCCTTGCGTAGATGAAGTCAGTTCATGTGGGGGTCCAGGAAGCCCACTAGCAACAAGGGTCTAGCCTACCACAGCGACCACGAGGTAGTGATGAGGTAGTGACTTATGACTGCCTTAAAAAGTAGTCTTAGCACCAGGCTTCTCCCTAACCCCATCATGGCTCCCTCTATCATGATATCTCTTTTATTGCTCCTTTTCTCTGTCCCTCCCCCAACTTGGCCATCTGGACTACTCATGTTCCCATCCTCCACCCACTCCCTTCTACTCCCTCCCAGTTTACCCAGGAGATCTCAACTATTTCCCCTTCCTGGGGTCCTCCATGAATGTCCCTCTTAGGGTCCTCCTTTTTACCTAGCTTTTCTGGGGCTGCGGATTGTAGCCTGGTTATCTTTAGCTTTATGTCTAATATCCACTTTTGAGTGAGTACATACTGTGTTTGTCTTTCTGGGTGGGCGTTCGGTATCTTTCTCCTTCTGCAGTTACTTGGTGTCTCTCTCTGACTCCGCCTACTCTGGGTCTGGGTTACCTCACTCGGGATTGTTTTTCCTAGTGCCATCCATTTGCCTGGAAGTTTCAAGATGCCACTGTTTGTTGTTTGTTTGTTTGTTTGTTTTACCATTGAGTAGTATTCCATTGTGTAAATGTACATTTTCTTTATCCATTCTTTGGTCGAGGGGCATCTAGGTTGTTTCCAGGTTCTGGCTATTACAAATAACGCTGCTATGAACATAGGCATTCACAAGGATGACCCTAGCTAAGGCCCTAGCAATAGTGGAGAGGATGTCTGCACTGGCCTTCCCCTGTAATCAGATTAGTGACCACCCTAACTTCCGTTATAGAATCTACATCCTTTAACTGATGGAAGAAGATACGGAGACCCACAGCCAAGCACTGGGCTGAGCTCCTGGAGCTTAATTGAAGAGAGGGAAGGAGTTGAAGGGAGGGAGGAGAGATCAGATGAACAAGGGGAGGTCGAGATCATGATGGGGGAAAACCACAGGGATAGCTAACCCTAGCTAATGAGAGCTCATAGACTCCAGACTGATACCTGGAGAGCCTGCACAGGACTGAACTAGACCCGTTGAACATGGGTGACAGTTATGTGGCTTGATCTGTTTGCCAGGGGTGGGTGGTGGCTGAGTGGGACCAGGACTTGTCCTGGTGTATCGGTGCATGATCTGGCCTTTTCTTCCCCATTCCTTATGATGGGATACCTTGCCCAGCCTGATTCAGTGGAGGAGGGGTTTGGTCCTGCCTCAACTTGGTATCCCACTCCCCAAGGGAAGCCTTATCTCCTCTGAGAAGTGGATGGGAGTGGGAGAAGGGGGTGGGAGAAGGGAATGGAGGGGGAACTGGGGTTAGAATGTAAAATGCAAAAAAAATTAAATTAAAAAAATTAAAGAAGGAAACACAAAACGATAAAAAAAATCAAGGCATTTTTAAAAAGCCAACTAACTGAATTTTCTCTTGTAATGCTTCATAGAAACGGTAGTAAACATTGCATATACCTAACAAATGAGTGGTCTTGTGATATACTTAGGTTCAGGCATGCATTGTGGTCTCAAGTGCTCTTACTAAAAACTTCAAGTATGAGGAAAGGTAGGATTCTCATAAAAAGGCTCAGAGCTAAAATGCTGTCCTCCCACGGTGAAGCATGTCTGTCTAGAAGGAGAAGAGAGACTTTGGCCAGGAAAAGGAGTCAGTTACAAATTACCAACAATGCTTGCAAAAGTCATGTTTGCTTGGTGAGGATTGCAGAAGCATGGAAAATCATTAGAATCAGGGTACACAGAAAGATAAACCAGGGGTCACAAGAGGTAAACCATGGGACACAGGAAGCTAAGCCAGGAGACACAGGAGTTCCTCATGGAAAGTTGAGAGCATGCCCTGAAGCTTGGGGAAGAAGAAAATAGGTATTAAGCCTTTCCTGGATTTTGCTGAAATGTCCACAGGCTGTCATAGTGCTGTGGTTTCCTTTCTCAAGAACTGTTTTTAAGAGTTGAGGTGGATGTACACTAGACAGCTTACATTCAAAGTGCGCAATCAGGTAATTTTAGACATGCTTACATCCCCAGGGCACTGGCACTACAACCAACCTGCTTAGAAGATTCTCTTTCTTTTGCTCCTCCTCATCTCTCGAATTCATCTACAGACTCGGTGGCTTGAACAGCAAAAATTTCTTTCTTTCAGTTCTGGGGATTGACGTCTGGAAGTCAAGATGCTGATAGGGTCAGGGGCTGGTGAGAACTGTCTTCCAAGTTGCAGACACTACCTTCTCACTGTGTTCTTGTATTATGGACACACACACACATGAGACAGACAGAAACAGAGACAGAGAATATAAATGAAGAAGCTATTAGTGTCTCCTTTTAAAGGGCCACCGATTATACCATCCTTATGACTTAATCATGCTCCAAAATCCCTGTCTCCCAACACAATCCTATTAGGGTCTAGTGTTGAAGGAGCTGTGGGCAGGCCTGCTTTTCATCCCGCCCGCACAGCTAGCTTAGCCCCAGAATAATTACACAGAAATTGTATTCATTTAAACACTGCCTGGCCCATTAGCTCTAGCCTCTTACTGGCTTACTCTCACATCTTGGTTAACCCATTTCTAATAATCTGTGTAGCACCACGAGGTGGTGGCTTACTTGGAAGATTCTAACCACCGTCTGTCTTGGGTAGGAGAAGCATGGCGACTGCCTCACTGCCTTCTTTCTCCCAGCATTCTATTTTGTCTTCCCCACCTACCTATGTTCTGACCTATCAGGCCAAGCAGTTTTCTTTATTAATTAACCAATGAAAGCAACAAATAGATAGAAGACACTCCTGCAGTCTAGACTTTCATGATTTTACTTTTGTTTTTAATTGTGAGCATGCTTGTGTCAATGTGTAAGCATGTGAGCCTATGAGGATCATGCCCACAGAGGCCAGAAGAGGAACTGTAGTTACAGGTGGCAGAGGCACTGGGAAATGAACTTAGACTCCCTCTGAGAGCACTATGTGTTCTTCACTGCTGAGCTATCTCTCCAGGCCAAGGTTCAATATCTAAATTTTAGGGACCATAACTCAGTTAGTAGCTCTTCCATCTTGTGTCCATGGACATGTTTTGCTCACTATAGATTAGTTTGAGTGTTTTAGAATTTTACATAACTACAGTCATAGCAAAGAGTACACACTCAATTTTGTTTGGCTTTCACTCACTGGAATTACACAAGACCTCACTGTAGCCACTATATATACTAAGTTCATGGCTCTTAGTGTCTGAGTTGTATTGTCCTGGAAGGATGGATCATTTTAGTCATTCACCAAGTGGATCTTCTTTGGCCAGAGGCCGTGTTTTGGGTCCCATTTTCTCAGGGATTCTGTCATATTTCCTTAGTGCTATGAGACTTGGATGTTTTCATCCCTTTACAATGCCATTGTTTTCCCACCTAGATTGTGTCTGGATCAGTTTCCTGGAACAAACAAGTGGTTTAAAGCTAGAGAAGTTTATTCTTTTGTAGCTCTGGAGGCCACAAGTCAAAATCAAAGACTTAGCAGGGCAGCATCTTCTGGAGTTTCTTCTGAAGAGAGTTTAGCCTCACCTCTTCCATTTTCTGGTAGCTGTAAATATCCTGGGCTTCTCCTAGGCAGAGCCCAGCAGATCCCTGTGCTCTGTCTTCACATGGCTTTCCCTTCAGTGCTTCTAGTGTCCAGTCCTTTGATTTCTTATAAAAACATCCATGAGTGGACTTAGGGCCTATTCCATTTTGTTTATTCCTTTTTTTGTTGTTATTATTATTTGTGTGTGTACATGAATATGTGGTGTGTACATGTTCATATGAGTATGTGTATCCGCATACATGTGCATGAGGAGATGGATGTCAGGACTCGTCCCTGATCACTCTTTACCTTATTTCTATACTTTTGAGACCGGGCCCTTTTTATGAACCCAGAGCTCACCAGCTCCCCTAGGCTGGCTAGACAGTGACCTCTAGGGTCTTTGCTTCTCCAGTGCTGTGGTGACAGACATGCACCACCCCACTTGGACTTTCCTTGAATTCAGGTCCCTATGTTTGCACGGTGAACACTTTGCCAACTGAGCCATCTCTCCAGCTACTGAAGGCTCATCCTGCTAGTCTGGGACATGCTTACGTAGTCATCATGCCTTAACCACACCTGCAGAGCCCGTTATTCCAAACAGAGAGCTCCCACTTTCTTGTTTCCTCTTAGTGTCCCTTCTAAAGTCCCCTCCTCATCTGTGACCTAACCCAGCTTCAGGCTCAGGTACTAAGCTAACTGGGATCTAGGCAGGGCAGTGAACATGTGTTCCACCACAGACTAAGACACTTCTTGTGCTCTTTACAGAAGTGCCCCAGTCATTCACTATGGCATGTGTGGCTCCTCATTGCAACTGGTATTAAGTCTAATTTATTGAATATTGCCAAGGTGGGCTGAAGGGTGGATCCCATCCAACTCCCCCAAAATGGTACTGTTAAAGCTGGAGGCCATGAGCTAGGTAGCAGATATTGTCGATCCCACATCTACCACGGTCCATTTAGAAACAAATACACCCATGCATTGGAGTGACCAAGGATACGAGCTCTCCTAGACTCAGCAGAACCTTGTTTACCTTTGCCTGACTGGGTCACTGTTGACATCAGTTCCTAGTATACAGTTAGGTACTTTAAATATTTGTTGGATGAATGACTGAAAATATCAAATCTAATTTTTTTTTTTTTGCTCCCATTCTTCCCACAGCTGAGGTTCCGATGATACGGTTGGCCGCTTACTGCTCCACGAAGGCAGCTTTGACCATGTTTTCATCAATCGCCAGGCTGGAGCTTTCCAAGTGGGGAGTCAAAGTTGCTATCATCCAACCTGGAGGTTTCCAAACAAGTAGGTACCTGAGACGGAGAGCTCTGTGATGTTCACCGTAAGGGGGACCCTGACATTCCTCTTAGTCAATTATGACATGCATCGGCCCCTCCAGGGTAGTCAGAGATGAACACAGCCAGGCATTAGTCATGACAACTTATTTCACTCAATAGGAACTAAGTTCTAAACTAACCGTGTAGATGTCATTTGGGTGTTTTAAATATTTTATTTTTATTTGTGTGCATTCATGTCTGTCTGTTTGTGTGGACATACACATGTGTGCAGGTCCCTGGGGAGGCCTGAAGAGGATGTGGGATCCCCTGGAACTAAAGTTATAGGCCATTGTGAACCATCCCATGTAAATGCTGGGAGCTGACCTCTGACCCTTGGCAAGAGCAGTAAACAATCTTAATTGCTGAGTCATCTCTCCGGCCATGACTTGGCTATTTAAATGGAGCCAAGGGAGTGGGGAGAGCAAGGCTCAGTCAAGTCAGGCAATTACAAAAGCACAAAGGCTTGGTCAGTGTGGAGGGGGAGGATGTCATGTTAGGGCTCCACCCCTCCACAGAAGCTGGGAGACAGGCTTGATGCTTCCAGAGGCTTCCTCGAAGGATCAAGCTCTCAGGGCCTTGAGTTACAGGGCATACGTATACATACAACTGAGCAACCTTTGGAGTAAATGCTCCAGTTAAGAGCGGCCGAGGGCCGCCATCAGGGGTGTGTTCACTAGGAAAGTAGTGAGTTCTCTGGTAGTGAGCCTTCTCAAGAAGGTGTTTGGGAGGGCTTACATCTTTCTAAAATAGGGCCAGATACAGCTAATGCTGGGCTAGAGTACGGTCAGTCTCTTACTGCAGGAGTTTGGAGAGAGTTACACCACACTCAGTGGGAAGGTGAGCTTCATCTAACCTTTAAGAAGCAGGAGCCTTCTCTGGATGATTCTTTTCTGGGCATCTATCCTGGAAGTGAACGAGAGGGCTCAGAAGCTGTAAACAAACTAGAAGCCACACTGAATACAAACCTAGCTCCTTGAACGCCACTCTTGAATTTCCCTGAGTTTCCTTCTTCCGTGCCCAAGATTTATTTTCTCTGTGAGTACACAGCAGCTCAGAAATGACCCCCCAGGGACTCTCCCTGATTTTCCTGAACCACCTTCACCCCACTTCCAACATGGTGTCCATCAGCTTCTTGCTGGGCTCGTTCATTTAGACTTGGAGATTGCTGCTAAACAAACTGAGCAGATGCACTGGGCAACATCAGAACCCCGTTCTCTCTACAAGATGGCTTCCTTCTCTGTGTTTTGAAAACAGTGTTTCCTTTCTCCTTCAGAGAACAGAACTACCCCCCTTCCATCCTGGGAGATGTTGCCTTGCCCCTCCCCTCTTTAATTTCTGAACTCTGAACCAGGACAGAAGGTCCATCCCTGTTTTTTTTTTTTTTTTTTTTTGTTTTGTTTTTTTGTTTCCTGGACCATAAACATTTAATTGGTCTGTCAGTGAAGGTGAGAGACCGAAGGTGTTGCTAACCACTGAAGAATAAACCCTAAAGGCGTCCGTGTCAGGCCAAGGGCACAAGATAAAAATCTATGAAGAAAACCTGGAAGCACCTGACAGATGGGAACCTCACTGGGATGTGGAGGAAGCCCAGGAACCAATAAGAACATAAAAAGGAATATTAGCCATATTTGAAATGGAGAGAGGATGATGTCTGTGGAAGGGTTTCTAGTCCAACGTCCCCAGCAGGGAGGTGGATTGGGGGAAGTCGATAGAGAAGAAGAGTGGAGCAAAGCTAGACCAGAATAGAAGAAAAGAAGAATGTTCTAGAGAGGGGAATGCCAACGGGAGCTGGTGGACAAAGGAAATGCTACATTGCGCTCATATTTTTTACATTTATTATTTTGTGCATGTATGTTTGTATGCATAAGCACCCACATGCTATGGCATGTGCTTGGAGATCAGAGGACAAGGTTTGGGAATTGGCCCTTTTCCTCCCACCTTGTGATTCCTGGAGATCTGACTCAGGCTGTCAGACTTGGTGCCAAGTGTCATTACCTATTGAGCCATCTTGCTGTCCCTGAACTGGACTTTGACACCTGGCGGTAGGACGGAGGGTTAGGTTAGGCCCAGGGGCCAAAGGAAAATTCCTGCATATCCACATAAGGCTCCCTTTGTAAAAGGGAGCAAGCTGGTATTAGGTTATACCTTAAGGGATTCAGAGAAGTCTTGCTGCTGACATTTCTGGGGAGTTGCTCTTAGCAGACACAACATCACTTTCTCTCCTACATGTTGGGGTACCTGACCTTACTGTTTCCATGAAGGACTATATCATAGACATAGGCAAAGGTGGGACACTCACCATTTAACAACTTAACATAAGCATTAACAAGCACCTGTCTTTCCCAGCAGAGCTAGTCCATAAGCCCTTGAATTGCCTCCACAATTCATCCTGGCCTCCCCAGTTTATTCTGGATCCGAGTCTCCCCAGAATCTGAGCCTCCTTTGCTTCTTGTGTTCCAGACGTTGCAGGCTCACCTGACATTTGGGATAAGATGGAGAAGGAAATTCTGGATGACATTTCACAAGAGACACAGGATGACTACGGCCAGGACTATATCCATACACAGAGGAGTTTTCTCCAGACCATGAAAACCAGGTCCAGCCCAGACATCAGCCCTGTGCTTTTGGACATCCAGCATGCCATTTCAGCCAAGAACCCCTCTTCGTTTTATACCCCAGGGAAACTGACTTACCAATGGATCTGCCTTAGCTCCTACTTCCCAACCAGCGTGTTGGACTATGTTGTGCAGAAATGTTTTGGTTCAAGATACAAGCCAAGAGCTCTAAGGATGTCGAGTTAGAAGAACAAGGCCCCAGTGGGGTAGAAAATGTCACATTCTTAGGATGAAAGGGAAACCTCTTATTAAATTCATTTTCTACCTCAAATTCGTAGTTTGAAACCTGTTGGTTCCTTTTGCTGTAGTGGCAGGAGGGGCTGGAAAGCAACAGGGAGCCCCCGGGAGGGTGCTGCTGAGACCTCCCGCCACCAGGCACCAACCAGAGCACGCTTTCCTTCCAGATGCTGGACCTTCAGTTCTAGCCCACTTCAGGACAGTGACTATAACGATAAACCAAAACCCACAGCAGGTCTCCCTTTCCCAGCACATGTAAGAAGTGTGTTTATACCGTACTGAATTCTATTAAGTGTGCACTAGTGTTATTTCTCAACAAATCAATGGGACCTACCCAAACAGATCATTACTTCTTCCTCAAAGATGCTAACAACTACCTGAGTCCTTAGCAAATATACGTAACCTTTCCGGTACTGGCTAGTTTTGCTGTAACACTGATGGCTGAAGATCAGGGTGGTGGCCCCTTAAGGTTGAGGTTGCTGTAGCGGTTTTATTTTTATTTATTTTTGCTTTGAGATGGGTCTCATGTATCCCATGCTGGCCTCAAAAATCATGATGTAGTCAAGAAATGAAGGATGGCCTCAAACTTCTGATCTTCCTGCCTCTGCCTCCCACATGCAGTCACGATGCCCGCTTGAAATATGTGTGTGTGGGGGGGTGAGACACACAGAGAGATTATGCATGTGCGTGTATGTGAGAGAGAGGAGACACAGAGTGCGTGCTTGTGTGAACACAGGCGCACGAGGGCCCGAAGAAGATACCCAGTGTCTTACTGCATCACTCTCTGTCTTATTCCCTTGAAACAAGGTCTCTCACTGAGCCTGGAGCTTGAGGCCGCAGCCAGCTTTTTATGTGGATGCTAGAACCTGAACTCACATCCTCATAGTTGTGTAGTAAGCACTGTTACCGGCAGGGGTATCTCTTCAGCGCCCACCATCTAAAAGAGCAAAACAACAAGGAAATGTGTGCGGCGCTCGCTTCTGCTTTCCATGGCTCTCTGCAACACGCGTTGCTCCTCAGCAGCATCTTACTCATTGGAAAACTCTTTCCAAACTGGAGTCTGTCCTGCCAGTCTCTGTCAGCGGTCTCAGTGTGTTCACAGACCCCTTGTCGGCAGGACACGCTGGCTGAGGGGTTGTCTCCTTTGCTTATCCATAGAAAGCAAATTCTTATCAGGTGTGAATGCTCAGCATCTAAGGGCGGCGAGTCCCTGGGGTCTTCAGGCTCTTCTCCTAATCAAGCCTTCTCACTATTCTGCCACGTATTCAGGAACTTCCCCCAGGGAGTCTCAAATACCCCAATCATCAACAAGATTTGGAATTAACGTCTCATGGCCCCTCTTAATGCTACCTTGACCTCTTCCCTCAGATCGCAAGTGTTCTTGAGGCGATCTAGAATGGTGAGTCCTTTCCAGAAAGCTCCAGAGAACCACCATTGACAGCAGCTGTAGCCTCATGAAATGGGTTCTTATTTTGAGACAGTTTTGTTGTGTTATCCAGGCTGGTTTCCAACTCCAAGGCTCAGGAGATGGCCTTACCTCAGGCTCCTGAGTAGCTGGGGCTATGCACAGCCACCAGGGTGCCCTTCTCCCTAAATTGTTTTTATTAAATGATGACTCCAACATCAGAAATACCCCTCGATCCAGGGACTACAGGATGAATAGAGTATCGACATTAACACAATTCAATCTCTTTGCATAATGGTATGGGCCTCTATGGTGACCAGGCACAAGTCAGTAAGCAGTAACATTGTGAAAGAAATCCTTTGTTTCCCCTGAAACAGGTAAAAAAAAAATGCTGATTCCTACAGTAGACCCCTAATTTCATCCAGTCCCTCAGGGTCTAGACTTTGGGATCAGAGCAAGGAGGATAATAGTATAAATTGCATTCTATCTAACGTGCATAGGAATTCTGCCCTGGATCATCAGGCAGCTTTGTTATTATATTGCAAAGGGCAGAGGTAACTGAATG